TTCCATCAACAGCAAAAATTTAGATAATCACCTATGTAATATTTGTATTATGGCAACTATTACTAATGATTGAGTTAGAATACCTGTAATAATGATAATATCAGCATAACTGGCAGGTTATGAAGCATCTGTGTAAGTATAGCATTACACAGAGAAATACAAACTGACAAATTGGACAGTACAAACACTAGATAAGTTCTTGTAGCCATGTAAATTTATTGAAATTGGGTAATAAGAAGTTCATTTGGGAAGACTCAAGTAGAGAGATAGCTGGATCTTTGACAGTCCTACTGTAAAGGCTAGCTTGAAGAAACAGATACCAAAGTCATAGTACCCATTCATAGTAGTTGGGTGGGCAAGAACCTCTAGGTTGGGAGGCTCAGGAGTACCACCAACCAGGCTACTAGAACAAACTAGAGGAAAAGGATATTAGGCTGACCTGATATACCAATAGACTAATTATAGGCTAACTGGATTCAGAGTTTGGTAAAAAGGCAGGCAAAAAGGCAGGAGTATACTAAAGTACAGAGGTTATGCTGTGAAGTAGATGCTAGGGTCTAAGTGAACTTTATAAGGACATAGTGATCTAATGGTTAGCCCTAACTGCAAGTGTTAGTTCTGCTATAACAATATCTAGGTTAGCTGTAAAAATGAGTACAGAAGGCTCTAGAGAGTTTACCTTAAGGATAAATTAGTCCTAAGTTGAGACAATAATCTGAGCATCTGGGTATGACCCAGTGATATTAACACAGATTACAGGTTCAGTGAGTTTAAAGTAGAACACCCAAGCAGAGGTGTTAGGTACAGCAATTGGTGGAGAACCTTTGGGTGGACTCTTTAAATAGGTAATATAGAAAAGTTACATATGTAGCTAATTGTATGCTCTCCTATAGTGGTTTATTAAACTACAATACTAATAAGTAATTAATAAAAGTCAAAAGACCAATGAGGTTACCTTAATACCAAAAAAAAAAATAAAAATAAATATTTTCTTTCTTTTTATTCTAAATACTTTGTTTTTAAAATACAACTTAAATATCACAAACTTCTCTTTTTTAACTAACTTATTAGCTATAATAATTTATACTTATTATATTGGCAACACATTTTCTCTAGACTAAATAAACTTTTTAAAGATATTATATTTTAATGGTTTACTTTTTTAAAAAACATTACTATAAGCTATTTTTATTATTACACTTTATATGATTACTTTAATTTACTTTAAGCAACTACTTTTCTTATATTACTAGTTACTTTAACTTTAAAACCAAATTCTGGTTACTTATTGTTCTAAATAATTAAATAATTTTTAGCAAAACCAAAAGATATAATATAGCTCTACAGTTCCTATGTATTTTATTTACTATCATTGCTCATTCTAGTCTTAGTTTTTTAATCTTTATTCTACTCTTTTTCTACTACTATTATATGTTCTAAATGTTATCTTAATTCTAATATAATTGCTAACAAATACACTATTTTTATTTTTACAAATCTGATTACTAAACTACTTTATTATATTAATTTTTACAAAACTCTTAATATACATGCTAATTTTCTTAATATTGCATACTCTGTAGTTATTCAAAACCCTTTATATATTTTATCTTCTTTTTTATTAACAATCAACTTACAATAATTATTTTGTATATTTCAATCAGACCAACTTACTAATAGCTTATAGTTTATTGCTAATTCTAATTAAAATCTAACTATTATTTTATATTATACTAATAGTTCTGTTTTTGAGCTTAGTATTATCTAATATTCTATAAGTATAGATTAGGTTTAAGCTAATAACTCTGCAATTATTTACTCATTTTAAATATAAGTTAAACTCTAATTATGCTTCTTTAAAGCTAAAATTCTTGCTATTCTCTCAATAATTATTACTGTATCTAGAAACTGTTTTGTTTATATCTTTATTAAATTATAATTTATAATCTTCAAATATCATAGTATCTGCTCATTAGTATCTAAACTCTCTTATATCCATACTCTATATTTCTTTATTTGGCAAACTCTTATTAATTTTATTAATTCATATAACATTCAGCTTACTTTCACAAAGTTACTGTACATTAATATGACCTATTTAATAATTTTACTGACCATCTTGCTTATGATTATCAAATACTACTTTTTTAAATATTCTTAACTAATAAATTTATAATCTTGTTTATACTCTATTTATTGACTAATTTATTATTAAGATTTCTATTTAATACTCTATTTATATTATCTGTCAAGCTTATATTTTAACATTTTAAATATTTTAATATCATTTTTAATAATAATTAATTATTATATCTAATTTTAACTAGAAAGCTACTTGACTTTTATATTAATAATGATTAAAAAGTTTCTAACTATACTTACAGCTTTTACTTATCTACTTTAAATTTTTTGTATTAAAATTTCATAAATAAACTATCTGTTTTTCATATTCTTTATAAATATAACTCTTCTTACTTTTCTTTTTGTTACTAATACAATCAAACTAGTTCTGCATTACACTAAACTATTTGTCATTCTATACAAACAATTTATTACTTAATCTCTAATTTTCTTAATTACATCTTAAATATAACTGCTCTTAACATATTTATTAATCTTATTTCTAATTTGTATTAAGAAATTCTTATATTTAACAGTTTTAAATTGCATAAGTTTTCATATATACCATCTTTTATTTCTATTTTATCTAACTTAGTTTTTATTAATCTTATTTTCATTATTCATAATACTTTTATTTTTTATTATATTACTACTTCTTTTTTTATTTAAACCAATAATTATATAAACAAATATGAATTCTATATTGTATTTCATGTTTTGTACAGTTTTAAATTACATCTTTTATAAACATAACTTATAGTTCTTTTTTTAGTTTACCTTTACCTCATATTTTAATACTATAAATTATTACCAAAATTAATTTTTGGACCATCTAATAAATTAAATATCATACCTCTCTCTCTTATATTATTATTGACATCTAAATCTAAGTAAGCATTGGCTACTTTTGTAAGTTTAGGTTACAGATTATATGTCTAAATCTTTATTTTCATATATAATTTAAAAGCAAGTTTTTTTTATAATAATTTTAATTAAATTTGAATAAAATTAAAAACATCACCTTATCTTTAATATTTTTTTTTAAAAAAACTTTATTAATAAACACATAAATTTTTTTTATCAATTTTTAAAATAGAAAATTATAATCTTTTAATATATAAAATCTTTAATCAAATATTAAAATCTTATTTATCAAAAAAAAAGAATTACTGTTTAATGTATTAAAATAAAATATAATTAATGTTTAACTATAATTAACTTATATAATATAAAATTTAAAGATTAGTTAATATAATTTTAAAATTATTTATATTTGTACAACTAAAGAACTTTAAATAATTAAATAATATAAAAGTTTATTCTATTAAAAACTTTTATGTATTAACATGCATTTTTTTATTTTAATTTTTTCTTCTTTAATGATCTTGCCAAGTTTGTTTTTGCTCTTATATTTTTGAACTAATGTTCTCAAATGTCTTTAGCTACTAAACCTTATCATACTGACTTCTACCAGAATCAGAAGGCTTTACCAAGCTTAGTCTAGAACTGACTGTCATTATAAATTCATATAGTATTTCTCATTATCAGACTTTTGGCCTTATATTTTGTCTCATAACTTTGGTTATTCTGAATTAGACTCTAACTTGTATTCATTATTATATGGTTTCTCAACTGCAGATTACTTGTTATTTCTAAAAATAAGTTCATCTTTGAACATTTTAGATTCCTGGTTTGCAGTATTGCAGTTCTCTATTTTTTGTAAATACATCTCTACAATTACTGTTACTAGAATTTAAACTGGCAACCTTGTGATTCATGACCTCAGAGTATAACTGCTATGCCATTAACTCTAAAAATCAATTTTTTTATTATATTTATTTATTTATTTATTATATATTTATTTTTTATTTATATAATTTTTTTTTAAAATATTAAACTATTTTTTCTATGTAACTAAATTTTATTATACAAAATTTTTATAAGTTTTGATTTTTTTATATAAAAGTTTATTTTTTTTATACAAAAAAATTTCAAAAATATAATTATATTATTGCTTGAGTTATATAATTAATTGTTTAGGTATATAATGTTAAACTTTTGAAATATTTATCTATTAAGAAATGACCTAGGTTATTCAAAATCTAAGAATAACTTAGGTCAATTTAGAATCAATCTAAATCATGAAATAACTCAAAACATTTATAATACCATATATATGTTAATGTATTAGGCTAAATTCAGAGTGCTAAAGCTGTCTAATAAGGTTTTTATTCAAAAGCTTACTTGTAATAAGCATTATTAGTTTTTGACTAAGCAGAATATTCTGTAATTGATCATCATCCAAAACTCAAGTTCACTGAAAAATAAAAAAAATTTTAAAAATTCAAACAAAAACAAATATTAATAAAATTAATTAATAAAGATGAGATAGAGTCATAGAGAAACAGGCAATACAAAAAAAAGTTTATTATTAAACAAATTTATAATAAAGTAATTAAACTCTTTTGCTTGTATAATATAAGTTACATAATCAACAAAAATTATAAATATAACCTAAATATAACAAAAATTCTTGAAGGGCTTATGCTTAAATAGAGCTAATTTTCAGCATATTTAGTATATATACATATATAAAATAATATAAAATTTTTAGAGAAAAATCTTCACTTTAGTCAAAAAGAAAATTTGGCAGATTATAAGTAGAAGTACAACTAATAAATATTTATTTTATTACAAATTATAAACTGTTTCAGATATGATCTACCACATTCTGGTAAAAAAAGATTATAGTGAAGTAAAAATAAGGTATACTTGAAATTATTTTATTTTTATGGATTATATTTTTTAAAGTTTGTTACATTTTTTTTAATTTCCTTCTTTATTGTTGTGTCTAAATAAGTATTTTTATTTTTTTTTTTATGTGTTAAGGCTGTTTGAATTTAAAGATTTGTTTAACATTTCTCTTCTTTCTACCACTGGAGCCCTTCTTGTTATTAAACAATAATAAGAGTAGCCAATAAAAATAAGTATAAAAATATATATATATATGTTCTGCAGGTAGTGTATATGTAATGCATGATTAGTAATAGCTGTTTCATAGCTGTTTCACTAAATTTCTATATGAACATTATAGTACTTCTTTATAGAAGCAAAGATGAATTTACCTGTAAAACATTTTGGAATTTATGTAATATGAAATTAAATACTATTGTGTATATAAATGTTAAAGGTAATAATAATATCTTGATGTATATAATCAAATTGCATAAAATAATAGCAAAAATGGGCACTATTAAAAAAAATCTAATCTATTAAGTACTATATGCTTTGGTCATGCTACATTATTTTCATGTAGTTCATTACTTTTAAAATTAATATATTGGAAAAACAGAAGTATTTAGTTATAAGTCAAATAATGAAAATGTATATATTTATTATAATAGTTGTCAGAATATAGTAATCAAATATAGTATGTGATATAAATTATGTAATTCAGTAATTGGCATTAAAATCAAAATAATAAAAATTTAGATTGTTATTCCTTTAGTTATTTTTGAATTTTTGAAAATTAGTTATATTAGATAAATTATAGAAATGATTTTTTCTTTTTATAACTGTAGTTAAAGAAAGTAAGAGAATTATTTCAGCTGTACTATTTGAAGCTGATGAAAGTTTTACTTTTGAACATTTACTTTGTCAAACAGATAGTGATTATATTTCTGAAAAGATTGTTAAAGTTGATGTTCAACCAAAGAGTATGAATACATAGCACACAGTAGTATCTAACATAGATGCAAGTTTAAAAATGTGTATACAAGAAAAACAAAATATATCATATATTCAGTTCATTGTTTAGAATAAACAGTTAGTATTCTCTCCAAATCAAATTCTTTCAATATAAATGTTTTTAATAAAATGATAAATGCAGCAACCAAAAAAATTTTACTAAATTTAAAACTAACAATAAATCATAATGACTAATTAGTAACAATCTTGGTTGGGAATATAATACACACAAATATGTTGGTAAATCATTTGTTAATTAACTTGTATCTCTTCTTTATTATTTAGATGATAAGCATATAACTCTTAACCTTCATAGTCTTAAAACACCATTAATTTTTCTTTAATTACTATTATATTAGTAAATTTTTTATTATAAATATGGTTTATATTGCAAAAATACTTTAAACTATAAAGAATTGGAATTTTATATTAATAAATTAGAAGAATATATTTTAGAACTATGAACAAGTAAAACTTGTTAGAATTAATTTATAATTTCAATCTTGGAACTATGTTTAGTAGCTTGTGCATATGCTAATTATTTAAAAACTGTAAATCAACAAGTGGAAAAGATTCAATTTGCATCTTTGTCAACTCAAAGTTCTGAAAATAATAGCACATTTGAAATGTAATCATTATATTTATTTAATAATATTCAAGAGATATATTTGCCAGTTGCTGAACAAATTAGAGTAACTAATAAATATAAAGTTATATCACTTAAAAATTTACCTAAAACAAAAAAAAATTTTTATACCTATCAGATCTTTGTATTGATTCAGCTATTATATTATATCAATATCATTATAGAAACTATCTAGAAACATTAAATTTTATTTGGTAAATTCCTGAAAATATTGAGTTATATAATGATACAAAAAATATATAAGCAATAATTAAAACACAAATGATATTACCTTAATTTTTTATTTGATATATAAGAAGTATATATTTGTAAAGGTATTGTAATTTATTATTAACTTAAGTATTATAATAAATATTAAAAAATACTAATACTTAATTATAAATAGTATTCATTAATTACAAAAATTACTTCAGGTATATTGCATCATTTATATTATGATTTAACAGATAACTTTAGTGTTTTTGATAATTGTTATTCTGAACAAGTTGATCAAAAAATAAAAATATTACTTGAACTTAGTGATCCTAAAATTATTATAGATTTACACAAAAATAATAGATTTAAAGAAACCAAATTTGATGAATTTTGGAATGAAAAAGCATATTATTTTGAGAAAAATCTTTTATCAGTACATGAAAGACATTATAGTAATATACTTTATTTGCCTAGTTTTATTTCTATTCATGATTTAAGAGAGTCTATTATTGAACATTTAGAAAATAAGCATAATGGATTTCTATTTTCAGATAATTGTTTAATACCATTTGACTGTTGGATTTCTTATCAATTTTGTTTAAAAAATCCTTAGTATAAAGCAAGTACACAATATATAGGATATTTTCAAATTAAATATATAGTTCAAACTCAGCAAATAAGAAAATCACATGTAAATATGCATTATTATCAAATGATTTTTAAATATATTTGTCATTTTGCATCAAAGTATAAAAAATTTACTTGTCTTATTTTTGCTAATAACAAGTATAAGATGCCAATTGGTGAAGGAGTACTAACAAGTACTGGAGTTCATAATAAAAAAATAGTTGTATCAGCACAAATAGAACTTTTTGTATCTGATTATGATTTTACAAAAATTTTAATAACTTCTTTAGTATTACTATTTGCTAATATTCTAGAAGATTCTATTTAATCATTTTATTCTGGACAAGTTTATATTATACTAAAGAATACAACTTTTTAGACCAGTTTAGTTCTTAGATGTTACAAAATTTTATAATTCAATAGAACAACATTATTTTAATACTAGTTCTTTGCCAGAAATTATTATAATTTATACAGACAAAGATTCTAATCATCAATATAATTTTGAATCTGTTTAAATTTTACATATATCACTTTTTTTGAATAATGATTTTAATTTGTTTATTGTTGCACATACTGCACCTTATCACAGTTGGACAAATTTAGCTGAGTAAATAATATTTATTCTAAATTTTGGTTTACAAAGTGTTACCCTTTAGCATGAACAAATGTCTGATAAATTTGAATCTATTTTTTATAAATTACAAACTTTAGATATAATTTACTATAAAATAGAAAAAAATTCTACTTTAAAATATGAATTACTTGCTTCTATTAACAAAATACAAATTATTTTATTTAATTATATAAGATGATTAAAGTTATATGATAATTATTTTGAAATCAATAACTCTGCATCAGAAGAAAATATTAATTTTTTTTTTTAAGACAATTTATTTATTTATTTATTTAATATTTAAAACTAATCTTTATATTATTAAAGCTAATGACTCGAATTGATCCAAAATTAGATAAATAGATGACAACAATAAATTAATTACAAAAGCAAACTTTATATCAAAATTTTGTGAAAAATCATTGTCATATTAAAAATTATATGCTTTAGATATTATTAATAATATATGTATTATAATCTAATTATTAGTTTATTGATCCAATTTATTAATTATAAGATAATAAAATGTAATAAATTTGATTACAAAATATACAAAAAAGTTCATATGTCATATAATGATTTTCAAAGTTTATCATTTATTTCTAATCCTGAACCATTAGAAAACATTAAGTCTAAAATTTAAACTTTATAATATAAAATATAATTATTTAGTTTATTCAATTTTTATTAGATAACAACTATTATAAAGAATTTGATAATGTCTATGGCCAACCAACCTCAGAAAAATTTTATCTATCAGCAATAAATATTTCTGTTAGTAAAGACCTAAATAAAAAAAATTAGAACAATTTATTAATACAAAAATTAGATATATAGTGTTATGTGATATTATAACAAGATATAATATATATATAGTAATTCTGCTTTAACAGATAATGAGGAAATTCAACTTTGAACTAATCTTGATGGTTATGTTATACATGTGGATTACAATTGCTACCTAAAGATTATGAATTTTCAAAGTATTTAAGTGTTAGATTAAATATTACTTGTGATTCTCCTATTGAGTCAACATATTTTTCATACCATCTTAAAAAGATAGATATTTGTTATTGGTGTAGAGAATCAAAGGATCTTATAGAACCTTCAGATAAATTAAAAGCTAAATAGAAAAATATATATCCTCTATGTGCATTTTGTAAAGAAATAGAAAAACATGGTATAAAAGAGTGCAAATAAATTTATTCAATTAAGTAATAATGATGTTAAAGAAAATACTAGTGTTATAAATAAAAAAAGAAAAAAATAATGTATAAATAATTACTATAATTTGAAATAAACCAAATTGATTATATTTGAATAAGCAACAAAATTAGATTAATTAAAAATATTTTTTTATTAAAAATAAACCTAAATTAGGTACAATTTGAACCTAATTTGGACCTAATTTAGGTTCTTTTAATTTTTATGTTTGTTTAATTTTTTTCTTTCTCCTTCTAAGCAAATATTAAAAAAAGAACATTAAACGAATCTTTAAATTCAAACGGCCTAAATTTATTTTAATTTACAATTACTATTTGCACCAAATATAAATAACTATCATCAAAATGTTTAATAAGATTTCAAACTAAATTCTTACCAGTCAAAAAAAAAGAAAAAAAAACATTACAATTTGTTAAATATATATAATAATGAATTCATTGAAAATACTAAGCCAAAAATACTATTTTTTATCTGAATTCTCTTTATAATAAATATTAAATTTTAAAAATTTTTATATATAGAAAAAAAAAGTCCCGGAAATAGGCAAGTGTACTTTAATTATCAGCAAATTTGAAATTTTTTTATATATAAGCCACGCACTCAATATAAACCATGCTATTTAATCTTGTTATTCATAGAAAACAACTAAAAAATTAAAATGGTTTCAATATTATCAATTCGAATTTCTTTACTTGGTTTAAGATCTTGATTAATTCTAAAATTTTCGTACTTTGAATTGACTTCTATCGTATCGATAAGTTTAGATGTATATATAACATTTTCATGTTTATTTGTAGTAATTGGCTGTTCTTTGATTAATTTATCAGCTTCTAAAAATTGCTGTTTAATCTCTTCATCACTATAATAATTATCGTAATCACTATAATTATCAACATTTTGATTATCAACACGATCATCGACATGAGCATTGTCGCAATAATAATCGTTATAATCATTAATATGATCATTGTCGCTATTATCATCACTAAAATCATTGTTGCTACCATTGAAGACAGTAGGTTCATGCCTTTTTACGAGTCTATTAAGAATTGCAACAACCGTATGCCTTTTTTTCACACCTGAGTCAGTATATTGTTTATCTAATTTAACGTTACTAACAATGCTGTCATTGTTGTATTTGACAACTTTTTTCCATTTTTTAAGTTTATTAAAAATGCCAACAGCCTTAGTTCTTTTTTTCATATCTAAATTAACGTGTTGTTCGACTAATTTAACATTGTTATCATTGCCGACTATAATGTTTTCCCAATTTTCAAGTTTATTAATGATCTCAACAGCCGTAGGTCTCTTCTTTATATCAGAATTAACACATTGCCTGGCTAATTCAACATAACATTTTGGTGCCATTATATTAAAGTCAGGTCGCAATCCATGACAAATCATTGCCGCCAGCTCAGCATCAAAATTATAACCATCGAAAGGCCTTCGACCAGTTAATATTTCTATCATAATAATGCCAAAACTATAAACATCGGCAGATTGAGTGAAATGTTCACCTTGCAAGACCTCAGGAGCTAAATATGGCAAAACACCATAAATGTGACTATCTTGTTTTTCATCAAATAATATTGATAAACCTAAATCAGTAATATAAGCTTCATATCCTTCTTTTAACAAAATATTACCAGGGTGTAAATCTCGATGTATAAATTTTTCAGAATGAATATTTGATAGATCATTGGCGATATAGCATAATATTTTTAGTTTAATTTTCCACTCTGATTTAAATATATCGTTAAGATTGTCACGTAATGAACCAAATTTTGTGTAGCTTATCACTAAAATAAGATCTGTATTTTTATTCATTGATATTCCAATATATTTCCCAAATACGTGATATGCCTTTAACTAAAAAAATATTCAAATTAAACTTAACTAATTAATAGACAATAAACAGTAATGGGGTTTCAGAATTAACCTTATTTCGAAATACTTCTATTTTTAAAATTCCGATTTAAGGAATTAAAAATTAGCATTTTTTATGTTTATACGTTAAAATAAGATTTATAGATCATTAATTCTGAAACCCTCAATATAAATTTACACGTAAAAATAAATTACCTCATTTAAAAAATGTTGTTTATTTTTATGCGAATCTTTTATTATCTTGATTGCAACTTCTTCATCCACTCCAAAGGACGTTTCATATGATGTTTTATACACTACAGAAAAACCACCTTTACCTATTTCTTCAATATTTCTAAAATTATCGTATTTTATCCATCGGAAAAATTTTGTATGAATATTACAGTCATGTTCAGCAA